AGCCTGAATTCAATCTTAAGAGAGTTGAACTTTGGTGGAGTGGTGTGTAGGGCCAGCTTTAATAGCCAGGGAGTGTGGTTTATTTTTGCTGGGATTACTTGTGGAATAAATGTAGTCATAACTGGATAACAGAAGGCAATTTTCTCTGCTAGCATATTAGAATGTATTGCTTTGAGGTTTCTCCTCTTTAAATTCAGTGGGATTTTTTTCTTGGTGTTTTGCAGACCAGAAGGATTTTACTGACCTTATTTGCTTGTGATGGTTGTTCATTGATTCATTGAATACAGCTTGCTTTTAAATGTAGCAATCCCTGGCAGACAGACCACTTGTGTTTTCTTTAGCAATTTGTATTTTACTATTGATCGTGCTAGTTTTTGTGGAGTTTTTCAGAAAATGTAGTATTCTTTTAGAGGTTCAGGCCTGCCATGCTCCAATTCAGAATGACTTGGGCCTTTCTATTGATAGCCGCAAGCTTACATATGTACTGGATTGATAACTGCTGGTTGAAGCAATTATTTGTTCTTTGCCCTTACTGCAGGGATGTGGAAGTAGCCCACCCGCTGCAAATGTCAGTGGGGCTTAGGTGTTCCAGAGAAAATAATCTGTTTGTCTGTCAGCAGGTGACTCTACTTTTTCCAAATGAAAAAGTGTCTTTTCCTCAAATTACACCCCTGAGTAGCTCTGGTGATGCCTCCTAAGCTGGAGGATGGACTTCGTGCTGCCGAATGCTGCCAGAGAGTCATCTCTGGGTTGTTTCATGGTTTCTCACTTGTGAAGGAATGAATAGGAGGGGGTTTCATCCAGATCTGTGGCAGAAATGGGTCTCTCAAGGTCTGTGTTCCCCTAGGAGTTATGGGCAGTTGGTGTGCTTGTGCTAATCTCACACCCAGAGCTAAGGCAGAGAAGGAAGAGGGATGAGTGTGGACAGGAACACTGAGGCTGGGACAAGCAATGGAAAAGATTCTGTAATTTGGGTTTTGTGGACAAAAAATCTGCCTGAGGCCTGCGTGACCCTAGCTGTATTCAAGGTCATTCATGACCCATGTCAAGGCTCTGTTCTCTTCTAGATGTTCTCTCTCTCATCTCTGGATGCATTTTCCTCCTTGGTGCTCCAGCTCACTGGGTCGTGCAGCTTCACCTGCTATTGGTGCCATCTGCTGCATGCCAAAGCAGATCCTGGGGGTGCTGTGATACCCTGTAGGAAGAGATGTGTAGGATGCATGGCAAGACATGTTGAGGGACAGAACTTACACTTGACACGTCAGTATGCAGCTGGCAAAGGTATTGAAAAGTTTGGTTTAGATGTCACTGTGGAAAAGTCCCCTGTGGAGCAGCAATCCCAGCTCTGCAGTGTCAGCATATACCTGTTGAAGACAGAGTTGCTGGAAGCTTCAGCTTTTGTGCACTGTATTGAGTTTCAGCATCAGCACTGACTGCTGGGTGGTATTTGAGGTGGGGATAAACTCTAGTATGAGCAGATTCCAAGAAATCGAGTGTATTGAGTTAGTCTTACACTCTGTGTTGCTAGCTAAGCTTTGCTGCTGGGCTTTTGTGAAGAAGCTGTTAATCAAATGGACTGTGATGTTGTGAGTCAGGTGTGAGGAGTTGGGTTTGATTGAAGTGGCAAAGGAAGGAAAATGAATTAGCTTAAGGAAATTGTCTCCTTTTCCACGAGGAATTAAGGTAGAATAGCAAATAATACATTCATATGGTGTGACCTTTAAGCAGGTGCCTTTAAAAGTGCAGGTGTGCCACATTTCACATGCTTTGTAGCTTATTGAAACTTTTTATCTGGCTTAATAGTAACCCAATATTCTTGTCTGTAACCAAACTTTGAGTGAATCATGGGCAAATTTGGCTTGATGGCTCTAAGGCACGTTTGAGTTGTCCTAATGTTCGACAACATCAGAACATGTGCATTCCTCATAGGTTTGCATTAGATCTTAAAAGCCTTTTATGTTACATTTATCTCATTAAAGCATCCTGATAAGTGTATCAATACAATCTTACATGGGTTGTGTCCCTGTGAAAGGCACTGGGCTTGATGACAGAGAAGATCATTCTCATCTGGTTCTTTCTTTAGGTACACCTCTAAGCTGCTTAGGTCTGTAATGACAGGCAGAAAATACAAGACAGAGTGAAGGAAAAGATGACAAATCAGAAAAGGAAAATAAAAAAATCTTTCCAGGGTGAGTGAGTGTTCAGCAAAACCATGTATGAATGGCACAGGAAAGACTAAGGTTGTAACAAGCAAACAAATAAAATTAGTCAAGGATCATTAATTTCAGCTGCAATTTTTAGCTTGTTCTCATTTCCAACAAAATCAACATCATAACTGGTTGCATTTATGCTAGTGTTATTTATTTCATAGTATTTAACTGATCAAAATACAAACACATTTTTAGGAGATAGAATCTGGCATACTCATTTTTTGGTTTAGAAACCATCATTCTGCTTTCCATGTTTAAAATAAGAATCCCTTCATTCTTTGCAGTCTCTAAGGCTTTCTCACAGTTTCAGGATTGAACAGAAGGCATCTGGTGTTTGAGTGAGGCTGTTGTGCCTTGAGGGGCTAAATCAGGTGCAGCACTAGCATACAGCCTGATCTTGGGTTTGTATGATGGTACAGTGAGCTGTCAAGGGTGAATGCACATCATCTATGTGGGGAAATGTAATTTAGCAGTATCTAACTTGCTTTAGCTTCAGGACAGTAAGCTGTTGGGTTTTTGCTATCCATGACTTCATCTTTGTGTTAGTTGTGTGACTGGTGAACATCAATACTGTCAACTAGATTTGCACTTGAATGTTTAGGAATGATATCTGATAGTGATGTGAGTTCATGGGTAGAAGTTCAAGCTGTGAAGATCCATAAAAACTGAATCAAAGTGATTTTCACCTGTGCTGGTTGTTGGCTCCACCAGCAGCCGAGAAACTACAACAGCCAACCCAAACAACACAGCTCTAGGTACCCACAGGTCTGGGCTGGAAACAGCAGACATCAAGCCTAAATCCTAGTCCTTCTGGTTTTCCAAACACAACAGGAGAGTCTCCCCTATGAGCAGAGTGGGCATCACTCAGACAAGTTCGAGGAAGTTGGTACAATAGTTTTAGGATGGTTTTCTTTCAACATAAAATCCCTTAATACAGGCTGAAGTTGTTTGATTTCTGCATCAGCTCCAGGTTAGGCTGGTATGTGGCAATTGTGGATGTGCAATCAGTACAACCTTTTCTCTTGTAAAGGAGTAGGTTTAAGTTGTTTGGGGTGTGAGCATGATTTGTGTTTTGAACCTGTTGTACTTGGGTGTTTTTTTCATTTGTATCTGTTTTTCCGGAGCTCACTGGGTAAACTCCTCCAGACTGAGTCATGTACTGCAAGTATCAGTGGAGCACCCAGATTGGGGTTCTCTTTGGGGCAGTTGAAATATTAGTTATGTGGCAACAAGTCTTTGAATTTTTAGTCTGTTAGTGTGCAGCATTGCTGAGTTCGAGGTTGGCAATAGTGCTTGGATGTCTGATAGGGAAATCAGGTTGTTGAAAAATGTGCTAGTAGTTGTTCTTGGTTTGTATTTTGCTTTGGTGGTTGAATTTACCATCATGAAAACATAGGTGCTACTTGCTGTTATGCCATTGGTCTAATAAAAGAGGTTTGCTCTTTAAGTCCGGCCAAATTTGTGTAACCTTGAAACTTAAGGTCTAGAGTTTGAACCCATTTCAGTTCCCATTTGTGTGAGTAAAGCTCAGACAGCGAGAGGCTGTGAAGTGTGAAAAGAGCTTTCTTGTCCAACAGACAGGTAGGCCTGGGAATACATTCTATGGTGATCTTGGGAGTGTGTTTATTTGCTTCTGTTAGAATTTGTCAAATCTTAAACAGGTGTGTGAGTGCTCTAAAGGAAGCCTAAATAATTGTCATGTCCTATGTCCTAAAACAGAATTTCATGCCTTTCCAAACTTGCAGTTCAGACGTGTAGCTCCAGGGATCCTGAGCAGGGATTGCAGAGAGGGACTAGGGGCTGACAGATCCTGATGTTTAGCAGGTATAATTTAGTTTGCTTGGAGTAAACTTGAATCTTGAAATATAATGTAGTGGGTTTTGAGTGCAGCATTTTTATTCTAAATTTTCGCACAATTCTTCAGTCTTTCAGAGAAAGATCAGGATAAATCAAAATAAGTTTGCTTTTTTTGAAAATGTAATGGTGTGTAAAGCCATCAGCTGTCCTGCTGGTGTGTGATAGTTTGCAGACTGGGTCTGTCTGAACTGCTGTGCATGCTGTATGTTTAATCCCTCTAGAATAGAGGGACTCATGTTCAGAAGTGTGGGGATGCCTCTGAGCTTCCAGCACCTTCCCTGGGAAGTGCAGGTTCTCCCCACTGTGTCAAATCAAGGTTTGTATCTCGAGTTACTACAGGCTCATCCAGTGTACTTCAGCCTCAGAGACAGGATAGAAGAGGATGGGCAGCAAGCTTGAGTTAAGCAGTGAGCTAGTGAGTTAATTCCTGTCGTGTGCCATTGAAAGGACACTCTTAAAATGGCCTGTGGATGGTGAAGTACCTGAGGAGCTGAATAGATGAATCAGTTGGTGTAAGCCACTTGCAGACAATCCATATTAACAGGTCAGTTGTTTACAGTAAATGAGCTCAAGTCAAAACAGCAAGTGTTTGTCAGCTTTTTCAGGTGGTGTAACTGCTGCAGTATGTGAAGATAAGGTGGTGATACATGAAGATAAGGTGATAACACTTGTTTTTGTTCTCATTCTCCACTTCTGTACAAGAGCTGTCACCTCACACTGAAATAGCTCTAGAAACCACCGAATGCTATGATAAGAACTGAAACCACTTGGTATCCAAGACTTATTTACAAAAGTCTAGGATACAGAGGTGGGATTTGTCCTATTTATCCCAAAGATAAAATTCTGGCCAGCTGAGAGGATCTGTGTTTACTGATGCCAACACTCAAGCTAAGTGTTATGCTTATTCTGATGATTTTGTTTGTTTGTTTTACAGTCTCTGGCTGTGGGTGAGGATTCAGAATGGGAGACAAGCCTATCTGGGAGCAGATTGGGTCCAGCTTCGTACAACATTACTATCAGCTTTTTGATGCAGACAGGACTCAGTTAGGAGCAATATATGTAAGTACCTACATAAAGGGGCTGGGGCTCTGTCCCATTGTCTGCCTGGGGTTCCCTGTTTTGATGTGAGGGTGGGACAGTGGATTTTATCCTGTCCCCAGAGTGTCAGTCAGTGCAATCACACTGACTCGACTTTTATTTGTTGCGTTTCTTTTGTTTCAGTTCTGTTTTGAGCTTTCTTTGCCTTACAGGCACTCAGACTCATAAAAGCCCTGGTTGCCTGTAGACAGTGGCTTGTACTGGAAGACATTGATGATGATCCTGTGACAAAATGCTCTGTAAAAGCAAACATTCCAGCCTCAGTTTACAGGCATGGATTTGCTTGGATCCCTCTTGAAGGGGGATGTGATTTAAGTCCTACTCCTTGTTTAGCAGTTCTTGCAGGTGTTTCTTGGATCTCATGTTGTAGGAATCCTCAGAACATTAAAATAGATTTAAAATTTTGAATCCAGTTTAAATATATAGAATTTATTACATCTGAATGGAGTTTAAATTTCCTCAAAAATTAGGTTTCTATTTTTGCTTCTTATTTGGGGCAAAGTAGATTTGGATTTCAAAGTGAAAGACTGTATCTAATAAACCTAAAGAACATCAGCTTTCAGTTTTGGGGGAAGATTTCTCCAGAATGCCAAGTGCTCTGTGTGTGGAGTTGATTACTGATGGTGAGGAATGCTGCTGGTGGCTGAGGTGTTTCAGCAAGACACTCAAGTCTTACAAGTCTTGTAGCAGCATATCCTGTTTTTCTGGCCACTTTTTCATCTGCTGGATGAGTTGTATGAAGCTCAGCAAGCACCTGAAGATTGAAACTGTTGATAGCCCTCTGACACCCCTCCTTATGCCTCAGCAGCATCCAGCAGCACTGACATAATTTGCTTTTGGGATTGCTGTGTCCTTGCTATCTGCCAGATTGTTGCCTTATTTTGCCCAGAACCTGTGTACAGAGCCTATACAGGAAGAAAACCAAGCAGCTGTGTTTGAGCCACAGCTCTAAATGGGAACACCCTGAGCAGTTTGTCATGTTACTACCAAAACACATTAAATCCTCAGAAGACTGGTGATAAGCACAGCCTAACTTAAATTCCTGGGGACATGGCCTTCCACACAGTGAACTCCTGGATTTTTTTTCACCCTTTGGTTCTTTCTGCCGTGTTCCACGGAGAGACCTATGCTTGTGTAGTTATGCAGGTCACCAATGTATGGGGTTTTTTTGTGGAGTTCCTTAACTGTGAAGAGTGGGGAACCTGTTCTGTGTGGTTAAAATGCACCAAGGTCCCAACTTGTCTGAATTAGGGGAGGTTCTGCAGAAACGTGCTTTTAATGGTGAGCTTTTTGCTGTCAGAGACTCAGTGGAAGGAAACAAGTTTTATAGTATGCA